TGATTTCTCCAATTGCTTTTGCTGGATTCAAATGCTGAAATCAAATAAATTTGTAAAATTGCCATATAAATAAAATTTATTTGGACGACGTACATTTATTTGATCCTCTACTCCTCCACGTGATCTACTTCATAGCGTAAGTAAGAAATAAAGAATATAAAATATTTAACAAACAATTAGAAAAACGTTAGCATGTAGAAAATGTAAAAAGCCTTGCAACATCTCTAATTAACTTACATCGAATAAAATAGATAATGAAATTCAAAAGCGAATGATTAGCACTTCCACTACTAAATTTGGAAATAAAATGTTTTTAATTTTTAAATTAATTTTAAAAGGAACAATCGAAGTATACCTTCGGACAAGTTTTTGTGCAGTTCAGGATAGTGTGACATTTGAAAACACTGAAATGATCGTGTATTTTCGACAGTCGCTCTTCAGCATAATCATCTCTCGAATCAATCAACCATCTAAAAAGTTATGTACTACACAAATAGAAAAAGAGAAGAAATATGATAGTTCTCATCAATCAATATCAAAAAAAAGAATGCTTAATTTTTAGACGCACAAGTGACATTCAGTTATAGATCAAATATCAATATAGCAGTCATTTGTTAAATAACCTTCAAATACATGTCTGAGAACGTATGATCAATCGCTTATAGTCATATTTATAAGAACAATGCTTATCTATATGCCATTTTTAATCTATTGCTTTCTTCTTATTTACTAATGGTTATTCCATATTTTTGACAAAATATGTGATGGTCGAAGATACCAAAATAATATTATCATAAATCTACACTGTACTATAGTTAAGAACAGAAAAACTAATCCAAATTTATTCTAAAACTTGCTTTAAAAAATAACTGAAAATGTTCTTATGACCACTGTTAATTGTTAAAATGTGGACTACGATCGAGCTCGATTGATTTAGAAATCTCCAAAAGAAAAACACTCAAATATTTTGAAAGAAGCGAATCTTGCAGAAAAAGCAGACCTATAAGACTGCAGAAGAATAGCTGGTCCCAGATACTTGTCAGCATTCCACCAATACGACGGACAGCTCGTGCTGCAGCAAGCACAAAGAATGCATTCATATAATCCATCCTAAAGAAAGTGGTTGATAAAAAAAAATGAACAACATTTCTAATTGCACTACTGATTTAGTAGTAACTAGTAGTACGAAGTAACCAAAATTTTAAATTTGCAATTAAATTGCAATTAAATTCTCATCTGCTAACCAGTTTCTCGCGTTCTTTCTCTGTTTGGAACATTTGCTTCTCGCCAAGTACCAATTTGTTTTTCTTCTTCAGCCATGGTTCAATCGAAGCGTACTGTGCGTAAAACAAGTTCATATCCGGGACCAAATCCTGCAAACTGACAAACACATCATTGACTATTTGACTATTAAAAATATGAATCATAGAATACACCTGAGCTTCACTTGAAGACTATACTTCAACAACTTATGCGGAAAAGTTTATAATATAAATTTACAACATTTACAATAAAAGACATGTCATTAACGAGACACAGTTCAGCTTATCGTCAACCAATTTGATCAATATTCCATACCTTATATAAAGAGAAATAGCAATTTTTAATTCTCAAAAACGGTTCTGAAAGATCCGATTGAGTTCTGTAAAGATAGAAATATCGAAACGCTACACATATGGGGCCATAAAGTTAAAGATGAGGAAGCAAAGTAGTGCCTTTGGTCTTACGTGGAAACATGTCACTTTGCTCTGACATTCGGATCCGACATATTACATCACTAATTTCTACAAATACTCCTCGCTCTGATCAATGATCCATGTTATGATTACAAATTGTTCTTAACAAACAGCTACAAGCTACGTCTAAAACTTACTTTAATGACAAACATATGTGGCAACGGATAGATTTTAGTGCTCTTGCTCGTATTTTCATCAATTTTACAAATGCATGCTAAGGTGTTTTCACCATTGATATTCATAGCACATGAGCCACAAATGCCTAAAAAATTTACAGTTCATTTAAACTCCACCTTTTTTTGAAAACTGTTTCCCTTATTTTGAGCTGCCTATTCCCATTCTATAGAATTACCTCAGTGAACAACAAAATATGAAACCAGCAACATTATCTTATTTTTCATCAATTTTACAAATGCATGCTAAAATTCTATTTTTTTGAGACGATTTTTTTTGAGTTTTTTTTTGAAACAGTTTATTCTTAAAAGTACATACAACATACCTTCACGACAGGAACGACGAAAAGTAAGAGTTGGATCGATCTCATTTTTAATTTTAATCAGTGCATCCAGAATCATCGCACCACAATCATCCAAATCGATATCATATTTCTGAAGTAAAAATTACAAAAATACATGCAAAGTATACAACTCATGGCATGCGTGCAATTATGTTATTATCAATTATTACGCAAGTGAAGACCACCTTACCAAATCCTTATATTTGTTAGCGCTAATAAAATTTTGGTTTTAAATTTAGTTAATTCGAATGAGCATTTACCTCTTCTAAAACTTTTGTATGCTGCCGATATAATTTGACACTAATATTTATTTATGATGAAGCCTGGATAATATTTTTTTATATTTTGCAAATATCGAAGAGCATATGTTAAATTTGTAAACGTTAAATGCAGTATCCCACGAAATCTCATCATTTTAGTCACTATCAAAAGTGCTATCCCCGACTACTTCCGATTTAGTTCAGTAAAACAGTTCAGTCTTACTTGTAACTGCGGTTGTGATCCGGGCTTCTCCGGATTGTAACGATATATTTCGAATGTTTTAACACGTTTCCCTGTTGGTGGTGTTGATGATGCACAACGTGCAATTTGGTTTACAAGATTTCCCGTACGACAGAAATTGGATGCACACCGAATCATCACTTTTTATAGACTTAAAATAATGTCGTTACATGTACTAGATTAAATGATTGCAATATAATAATGAAGAAATGAAAGAGCGAAACATTCAACTTCATATCTAGCAACTACTGACTGGAATAGAGAACACGTAAAACAGCGTATTACATTGTTATGTCGACTGAAGTAAAGTTACAGGCACTTTACAGGAAGCAAAAAACATCTCAGAACATAGGATTTGAACGCATAATTTGGAAGCATCGATGTTTTGCTTCAGGTATACTTTAGAAGACCATGATATTAGGAGGTTCATTAACGAGGAATAATCGAATAACAAGAATCTTTCACTACCGATAACAGAAACAAATCTGTTATAATCTCATATAGCTAAGATTCAGACAATCAGATTTATATATGATTTCATGTAAGGTAATACCTTGATACGTATGACATGCGCAAATGTCTGAACGTATAAAAACAACAAAATGAACCGAAAAGCACTGGAATATCATATGAAATATTTTCGAAAACAAAAGATCATTTGAAGTAATTAATTGAAAGAAGTGAAGAGGAGATGTGACAGAGGAAGTGCTCTATGGACGGAAGAGCAGGCACGCTAGCGCGAACAAATATAACGAAAGAGAAGGACAAGTGCACTCAAATGCACGCACGCGCGCAAACAGACGCATAGACATACGTAGAGACGTAGAGAATCACTCTCACCTTTTACTCTTCATTACAAGACTGCACTTTAAAGTACATAACGTGCATGCAGATATGCTTAGACAGACCCACAAACATACATACATGCATGCCTGCAGAAAGCATGCATTATTATGCATATTCTCTTACAATATACAAATGCATCCTATATTATGTTTATAAGGATTTGAGGAATTAACTAGGGGATATAATATAGATTGGCATCAACGTGTCATTTCAGGTTATAGCGTGTAACGCGACTGGTCCGCTTACAATGTTTCTTTCTTTCCAGCTAAACTGATATTCGTATATATGCATGAGGTACCATTCCAAGATTTCAATCATCTTTCCACCGAAAAATAATTTAATATCAAATGACATGAACTTTTTCATGGACTCACGTAAATAGCTTAATAACAAATAGCGTGAACTTTTCCGTGGACTAACGAAAGTAATTTAATAGCAAATGAAATGTCATTTTTCCCGTAAACGGAAAAGTCCTTTTTCCGGAAATTATACGTAATGTATTATTACACGAAAGACCGGGAAATTCATATTAATTCGATAGTTAGTACGAACTAATGATTTCATGGGAAAGTTATGATTGTATAGACTGGTTACCAGTCTTTAGTGTATCCCGGGATAAATCCACCGCGGCAACCATTCCCGCGCACATTAACGTAAGTCATCCGGTTACTATCTGACGAAATTTGACGGCTGAGTCTATTTCGTTATGTGGTGTACGGTTATAATGAATATCAAATTATGTAATTATCAGTACTGCTTAGAATGCTCAACTTATGAATAGCATTAAATAATGACTATACTTAATTTCCGGAAGATTTTCTGGAAAATTAAACACTACTGAATACAACTTTCTAAAGATTTGTATTCTCAGTTTAAATTAAGTGAAATGTACGTGAAATGAGAAAGATTAAAAATTTTGCTAGATTAATTGTTAAATTCTAATTGCAGTGCTGTAGTGCTAGTATGTGTAGTAATGTTAGTAGCGTAAAATGGAATATTTTATTAGCAGAATGTTCCATATAGCTTTTTTAAAAAAAAGCGGTATTTCATCCTCTTCTAGGATATTCGTATGTTTTGTTGGGGTAATATTTAGAGGAAGAAATGTATACGTAAAGAGATGGTATGGTTTTTGAAGAGAGATTACTCATATGATTATGTACTTAATATTTGCTATTTTGTGCAATTAATTTGGTTTCATATTTAACCATCAGATATTTTTATAGTTTACGAAATTGCTTTCCTGTTAAGCGCTATAGTTCTTAAGTTTATGAACTTTGATTTGTTCATTCTTTTAATTGCTAGATGTTATTCCTAATTGTAGCTTCATGCCATTATAGTAATAAATTATACTAACGACAATTTCAGGTACATTGGCCTATAATTAGTGGTTATTTATATTGATGACATCCCATGATAATTCGGTAATCATTTCGGAAGCTGATAATTTAGACAGAAGTTCAGTGGAACTTGTCACAGCTGATGGAATTGATGATCATCATGAACCAGTACAACAACATCAAGATATTGATGCTTCAGGAATGAGTTATACTGCAGTACGTCCTCTTATTGTAAGCAACAAATTTTAAAAAAAATTATAGTACTTTATTTATGGTAACACATCTCTATATGCGTTATGGAGCGTTGCCTGCGATAATTAATGTACTTTTATTGGTTCTATATATTCTTAAGTCATTCCTTGAAATTCGTAATTAATATGACGTGTCTCAGCAATTCATCTAACTTAGAGCTTGTTAGATTCAAAATTTAAATTGAAAATTTTTGAGTTTAAGAAAATTTCAGCATATTTCAGGTTCCATTGGAAGTGTTGGAGGTAGCTGGTATCGATATAGAGAATTCAGGTGAATTAACAGAAGATCAAATAAATACAATTATGTCTCTGATTGAACCAAATGGTGCAACTCAACAGAATGAGTTGAAACATGAGCATATTGATATACCGCATTCTTCTTATTCTAATGGTATGCCTAGTTCTTCATCCGATGCTGGAGATCGTTTAACATTGTATATTCTGGATGATGGCTCATTGAAACTTACGGATGCTACACTTCAGAAGGAATATTTTGTATGTTCTTCAGTTCCGTTATTCATTAAATAATTATTTTTAACTAACTTTACCAAAACTTTAATCCACTTAATTGATTTTGCGTAATGCTTCAATAGTTTAAGATCTAATGATTGAGAAATATCAAGATAATGTTTATTTTGAATCTTATCGCTAATATTTATTAACATCTTACGGTACATTTGAAATTTCAGTTTACACCGAGGGACCTAGCGTTGCACAATATTGATGTTGACAATTTAACTGACGAAACTTTGCAACGAATCATTCAGATGGCCATGGAATCGTAAACTTTTATATATCTGTTTGCTGTGTTTTATATCGGTCTGCTGTGATAAACCCTATTGCTTAAGGATTTAAATGTATAATTAAAAAAAAAAATCGAAATATACAGTTTAAGAAATAAATTCTATTGTGAAGAAAGAGTTACTATTTTCTAAGGTGCATTTTTGCTTTTTGAATCGGAGATTGAAGTGAAAATATGTCATTTGCAGAAATGAAGTGGTGACAACAAAAAAGCGAAGAATGGAAGATGTTGGCTGTGTGGAATTTCCACCAAATTTTTTACCTGTATGTTTTTATTCTCAAAAAATATTTCCTTAGGATTTGTATTCACATTTAACTAAGAAATTAAATAATCAGTCATTTCAGAATACTTCAGTGGAACCGCCAACATCTAGTGCTTCAAAAACAGTTCTTGTCAGTGGTAAAATTTTAGTTTATTTATTGGATTTTATTGAGTTTACTTTATTGTTATGTTATCGAAATTGATTTCACCAATCGTCTGAATTTGTTTTTTCCTGCATTTTAGTTTTAAAAAAAAATTTTTATTTAAAAAATAAGGATGCTAATGATAATTGTTTCAGAAGATCACCATGTTGAATCACAACTATCGTTAATAGGCACTGAAGTTGAAATTAAACGAGATGGTAAAATATATTCGGCTACAATTAAGTACTGTAGGCAAAGTGGAGGATATAAAGTGCAGTTCAGTGATGGCCATTTCGAGTGGGTTAGTGAAGATGAAATGCGATTGCTTCATGGTAAGCTTCCATAATTTTAACACAATTCTTATTTTCAATATCTTCTGTTTTATTAAAGTTGGAGATCACCTATGGTAAATTGCTTTTTTAGATGAAAGTTCTGGGAAACGTAGTGATCATGAATCATATAGTGAAAGAGCTAGAACTTTATCTTCTGAAAGTGTTGGTGAAGATACTATATCAAAAAATATTAATGGCCGAAGATGCATTTCCCAGATTCCAGGTGTGTATCTTCTATTTGATGCTCATTTTTTTGTCTTTTAAATTTGAAATTGATGGTTAGCAATATAGTTCCAGGTATTAAAGTTACTCCAGCAAATGGTTGTCATAAGCAGGAAGAGCCAAATTTTTGCTGTGTTGTATGCGATCGAAAAGTTTATCAGAAGGTTTTTTCTTTCCTGATATTATTATCATAATTCTAAAATTCGCTGATTTCTTTAATTCCTAAATGTAATTATGTTAAAGCTATGAAAATTAACTGTTCGTAATTGAAAAAGTAACTAACTGAACTCCACATAAGTAATAATTCTACATGATGAATAGGCAAATCATAAATGGAGAAAAGTAATCCAAAAACGAAGTGGCATAATTTTGTAAGAGTTGTGATTACATTGCAGCAGCATAATAAACATCATGCAGATTCTCATCTCTTACTTTACTTTTTTATGTTTTTTGAATGTTAGATTTCAAACGAATTTTTAAAAATTCATTTACAAATATTCCAGGAACCACAATACATTGTGATACGAATTCCTGCTTGCGATAAATGTGCTGAGCAAAAAATGATTTTGCTAGATGGTGCCACAAAAGATTGTGAAACACAGACGTGTATCAATCTTCTAAAAAATGATCGTATTGCTACTGCTACAAATGATGGAGAGAGGAGAAGCTAGTTCAGAATGATCAATTTTGGCAGTTCCTATAAACATTCAGAGAAACGTTCTCGTCAAACATTAGGTGATGTAAGGAACATATTTATTAAGCATAAAATATTTATTGGAACGAGCATTTTTGACGTTGAGTTGCTGAAATTGTTTATCATTATTCTTCCTGATGCATTTCTTTTACAAAACATTCTTTTAGATTATAATATCGAAATATTGTTAGGACAAAAAAAAAACGAAAAAAATTTGATCGAAAGATGGATTCTATTATAAAATCAGATTTTTTTAAAGGAATATACAGAATCTTTTGGAAATTTGAGAAAAACACGGATCGCCTTGTTTTTTGTAAATAATTTACCAGAGTAGAGTAGGGAAACTGTTTTATATATTTAGTTGTTTCATTTTTTTTCTTCATTTCTTACATTCGGGAAAGTTATGCCGATGCTTATTCATGTTGAAGTTATGCCGAAGTTTGGCCAGATTTTCTATTTCTGATTCTTTCGTAAGGAACTGTCCCAGAAAAACTGTATTAAATATGCTTGCTTCAGATAAACATTCAAATCCCTTATTTACTTTAATTTTTAAGTTATAAATTTGAAATAAGATTTGTATTCTAAAAAAAAAAAATCTTAAAAATATCACTTTTTTCTCATCAAAAATTGTTGTATTGCATTCATACATTCGACACTTTGAAAACGCTGCATCAGAAGAGAAACCTCACGTTCGTTTTGTGCAAGAAGTGCCTCACGATGTATGTTTCGAAGTAATTCTTTGTTACAGATTAGTGATTCAGGTGGCAATTGGGATATCTTTCGCACATAAATTTCTGCCTCTTCTCGAAAAGTGAATGATGACATCACTTGACATACCAGGTTTCGCTCATATGCTTCTTGGGCGGTTAATTTTTTATCAAAAATTAAAAGTTCTGATGCCTGAAATAATTTGAGGATAAAAAATATGTGGTGAATTTACTTCAATTTATATCATTTATTGTGAGGCAAAAGTTTGTAGTTTTGTCATATAGTTATTTGATAATAATCTTGAGTTATGATATAATTTGAAATCATTTTTCATTCATGTTTGTTGTAAAATCACTTATTTATTGGCTTATTAACTTATTGTTTATATCATTACCAACCTTACTGTGTCCCATTATCATTGGGAATGTATACGATGAACAACCTTCCGGAGATTGTCCCAAAATTGTGAACGGTGTACTGAATATTGCCTAAAATTTTGATTTATATCCAGGTGAAAATTTCCTTAAATAATAATGGTAGTAATAAAAAAAAGAAAGAAAAACAGTTGTTAAAATGAAAAAGAAGGTTAATTTTCAACAAACCTTATCAGAAGCAAGAACTAAGTCAAATAAAGGTAATACAGTAACAGCAATACCAATTGCAGGACCATTTATCAGTGCGACTAAGGCTTTTTTATGGTTAATATAAGCAGCAACGTATGAACTGAGTATTTGACTTGTTTTAGAAATCATACGTGGTATGTCCTCGAGACCAGTGACTTCAGTGAAATTTGATAAATCGTTACCGCTACAAAAATACTGGCCTGATCCTGTCAATTAAAACTTTTAGTTCCTAGAATGCAGCAATTTCTAACAAAATAAAATTGACAAAGATGTTTGAAATTTGAGGAATGCTTGGAAATGAAAATAGTGCTATGTTGAATGCTACATGGCAAAATTACCTACCGATAAATGCAGTCACTATAGTATCAGTCTCATTTGCATAATTCAGGGCATTCGTAATACCATCATACATCTAAATTTTATTTTTTAAATTTGAAATCAAATCATTAATATCAATAATCTTTTTCGATATTTAACTAATTTTTTATGCACTGTTATAATATTTAAAATGCGTTGACTTTACATACATCTTTGCACTACTTATCAACTTTACTTAATTGTTTAAACTTAATTAATTTCATAATCAATTTACCAAATTATTCAAAATATACATAGGATGATTGCTTACCTCTAAAGTTAACGCATTGTGTTTATTTGGTCTGTTAAGTTTTATCCATAAAATTTTATCTTCAATAATGATATCAAGACCAGGTATAGATTTTAGATCATCAAAAACTATTTTAGATGAAGTTTTTGCAATTGTAGATAGTTTATTGACTAAATCGATGTACATCTTTTTTGCTTCATCCTAAATATTTACAATTTTATGATAAAAAATTACAAATTTCAAATATATATAGCTTATTCGAAATGCAAAAAAGGAAATAGTTGAGAAAGTATAGAATTTAATAAATATTTAAAAAGAAATACCATTGATCTTCCTTTCAGTTCTCTCCAACTATCATATTTTGCTTGTGACGATGATAATAATAGTGGTCGTTTACTGTCAATGTCACCAATTGTTGCCTTTCAAATATGACATTGTTATATGAATATTTGAAATTAAAGAATTAATAAATTTTAATCAAAAAAATAAGAATAATATTTTTATAATGATAAAATATTATTACGAACAGAATTACTTGTTTATAAAGGCCATAAAGTTTCAGTTTCGTTGATACATCTTGTTTTTCCGCTAATTGTTTCACTTTTTCGACGGCTTGTTGAAATTCCGCTTCCCATGATTTCAATCTGTAGCTCAATTTCAAATTAACAGAAGAAGTTCATGAATTTAATTTAAAGAAATGTCACATTTTAAAATGAAAAAAAAAAAATTGGGAAAGAATTATTTAGCAATTTTTCATGAAATATTCTTCCATTAAGAAGAATTAATTATAAATAATCTACAAAAAAAGAGTAAAAAAGATAGAATAGAAAATAGAAAAAGTTATTGTGAGTTATCAATTCAAAGATTCTTAAGAATAACTTAAGAAATCCTTAAGAAAATATATGATTTTATTACTTTTACTACCTAATTAAGATATTTTGTCACTTTCTTGACAATATTGACAACATTTTAAATGAAAGTCAAAGTGTCTTTTTTTTAAAAATAAAAAACTCTCAAATATATTTCGAGAATATTTACATGAGACTTAAATCATTTTTTTCCCCCAGCGATTGATAAATTTAATAATTTAATTAATCACTTATTTATGACATATATCGTAATTTAACAAATAATTTAGCGTAAGAAATATCTCAGAAAAAAAAAGGAAAAAAAAAAACAAAGAAAAATGTTTACCCTTCTTTTTTTGGTTTGTTATTGAAATTTAGTAAAAAATGAAAAAAAAAAAAAACTTACCGAAAAAAATTTTTATGTAGTGCAAAGAATTTTGTTGATTGTAAATGCAATGATAATAACGAAGAACAATTCATAAACATAGTAAAATAATTTTTTATTCGAAGAGAAAAAAAAAAGAAAATCTTTTTTAAATGATAGAATTAACCAAAATGTATTATTGATTGCATTGAAAATGTTCATTACGGTACAAAGATCACATTGTTCTGCGATACAATTAAATTTTTTCAAATGAACATTGAACATTGATTGCTGAAAGAATGAACGATTGATAATTACGATGATAATTTCATGAAAGAAAATTTTTTCATTGATAAATTATCATTAATAGAGAAAATTTTCTTGCTATAAATTATCATTTTATTAAAAATTTAATTATTGAAATGAAATATCATTAAAATTCATTCCCTTGTCCTAAAGTACTTAAAAATTGGCTTTGTTAGTTCGCAAAAGTAATGCACAAATATTTCTTAGATGTCATAAGATTAAGATAGGTTAATTTTAAATTGCACTTTCCGTTTAGTTGGTAAATTTGTAGAAATATGTGACCATCTGGTTTTTTTAATCTTTTTCTCGCACAGTTAATCTTTCGAAATAATTAATTTCAAATGTTTGAAATTGATAATGCTTGAAAGAGAAGATAACTGATTATGATAGTTCAAAAACTATGTTTGATTATTCAATTTGTATTAGAACTATGTCTGATTACTAGATATAAAATAGAAAATATTTGATAAAATTTATTTAACACAATGATTATTTCATTATACACAGCTGAGAATAATGCATTGGATTAATTTGCATATTAGATTAGAAAGAAGAAAACAAATGTGATCATATATAATCATGCAATGCATTTTCAGTATGCAAATTCAAATTCAAAGTGCTCAAAAAGATGACATAGATGGGGAGGGAGAGATCTTAAACAAAATAAAGTTTAACTTTAACAGAAACAAATTTGTTTCATATACATTATATAGTTGAAAAACTTTATGCACAGAAATACAGATTAGAAGAGAAAGAAAATTACATAATTATGTAACATAAAAATTTTCTTCCATTAATATCATCGTATATTCACAAAAATACAAAGATTTCTATCTTCTATTAATATAATCATCAAATATTCACAAAGTAACATATGCGATACAATTTAACAAAGGACAATGAAGTATAAAATGGCAAAATATAATTCCATAGTAAAAGAAGGAAAGAACTTAGACATTTATATTTAAATGTTTTTACATAAAGATATTTTAATATTCTTACAAGGTGACTCTTTTCATTTTTTTTTAAAAAAAAGGAATAACAAAGTATTAGAGCACTATTCACAAAATCAAGATAAACAGCCTTCAGAAGTGAATTTATTGAAGTCGAATGACAATTTCGGCAAAATTTTCCTCCTGTTCGACCTTAACTTTTTGCTTTGCCAACAACTCTAAAATTGTTATTATTTTTTAAAAGAAATAAAAAAATATGGAAGCAAATCCTTTAATCTCTGACGCTATCAGCAAAAACCAACATATAAATAATGTAGACAAAATTTAGGACAATGCTATAATATTATCTTTGAAATGATATTATTAATCATTCAGAATCTTTCAGTTCAATAATTATAATTTATAAAGCAAAAATTAAATAAATAAAAACACACCCAACAAATTTGTAAAAGCTTTAGCTGCAAATACCGCAGTGTGACCACGAATTAATTCCGAAAAACATAGAGATGAAGCCTCGTGAGAATTGAGAAATTCAGTTATCAATCTGCAAAACATTATATCTAAAATG